CGTGATCAGTTGTGGTCGGGTTCAGATGCGGCTGCTGTTTAAAGCTCTCTATAAAAGTGTGTGCGCGCGTGTATATATTTGCATAATAAATCGCATAATTAAGTTTATTTTAATGCTGATCGCCGAGTGTCGTTCACTATAGTTGCAATGGAAAATTACGCGATCGCATTTGCGAGCAAAACACGCAACAAAATCAAAACGGAACTCTCAGGCCTCTCCTATAGCCTGTGACCCCGTAGTTAATGGTAGTTGTAAAGGTTACTTTAATTTGGTTAATTTTTAAACTTATTTTTAGTAAAACTTTTTTAGCTTTTGCGACTTTTCCGTTTCCGCAGCGGAAGAAGGAATTTTCACAGGCAAGTCAGTTGCCAAAAGAGAAATTCTTGCAGTGCGCCCTGTAAAGATTGAGGGTGGGATTGTTTTGAATTCATTATAAAATTAATTAAATGTTACTTTCAATTTAATTATGAGTTCTATGGAAATCAGATCTTCTTAGAAGATGAAAAATTATTCCTAAAAAAGTAGCTACTTTTTCCAGCTAACAAAATAATAACAAATTAAAAAAATACATGTTCACCTATTTTTCCATTGTGGAAAGTATAGAAAACCGCCCTAATTAGTTATGATTTATAAGAAATAGCGCAGGAAAAAAGTAAACAAATCGGAATAGTGATAATCATATATATTTCACATCCTCAGAGAACCACCTCTGGGTTTTCTTTCTTCATTTCGCGATCACGCCTCGATCAGGTGCTCTAGGTCAGTTACGGCATGGCGATCACTCTGTCTTGTGTCTCGTCCCAAAAATAAACCAGTTCTATATTTATGATTTAAGTTTATGCTGCGCAGTTTATCAGCACTTTTTCGGTGGCAATCTTTCGGGTGAATGTATTTCAAGGAGGTCTCTGCATTGATAAGGCACCGATCGGGTCGCGCGCCTTGTGTCTAAATTTAAATCACTGCCAGAGGCCTGTAACTAGTCTTATATAGTATATATACTAAGGTAAAACATACTCTAATCATCTCTACAATTTGTTGAATTTTTTTACCGATAATAAAATGTGGCCCGAGTGATTTAGATTACTCGGCAGGTTTCATCAGACATTTCTCAAGTATTTGTTGCTGTGGGCGCGTGGTTGGTTCTCTATTTTGACTTTTCTATTAATTATGCTACGAATCAGTTTGTGTTTATTTTTTTATTGCTAAAGAATTGTCTAGACATTAGGAATCAGCCGTAGTTTTCCAGTTTCAGTGTGTAGAACAAGCAAAAAAAAAAATGGTATGTTTTCTTTAGGCTTCACGCAGCCAGGGAATGATGTTTGATGATGGAAATAAACCAAAGCAGCGTTTAATTTCATTTAAGAAATTCAAGAATATTCTGTATATTATAATAATATTTAATTTCAATATCCGATATACTAACCCCTATTTTTAAAATCCCCTTAAATCATAATGCAAACTTGAACCACTCCTTAAAATGGAAAATGGAAAGTCGCCCGCATAAATTAAAAAATTTAAATGGTCCCGAACGACATCCGCTGAAACCAACAAACTATAATTACAAAACAGCATCCCGAGAGACTCTGAGGTACACAAGAAAGTCGGGTAAAATATGAAATTATGTACTAAAATAGACAAGAAACATTCATGTGAAAAGTGTGTGCCACTAAATTAGCCAGCGGGAAGCAAACTGCAGCTTGGGGGAAATGCAAAATGCATTTTCAAGTGTAACCAAAGAGAGACAACTTGCAGAAAAAGAGAAAAAATGTAATTAAGGAAGAGAAAATCGTATCTCTCTGAGGGAAGTAATAGTAATAAAGGTACTGAGGGAACTGACTGCAGAAACCCTGCAAAAATATAAGGAAGAGAAATACCTTAGTAAAAAGACGTAGGTTAAAGGGGGATACCAACAAATTAAATACGGTTAAGACTGATTCGATTAAATATACATACATATAATTATGTCAAATGATGACAATACTTTCCTATCAAATGTACAAGTTAATTAAAGACAAAAGTCAGAATATTTGCCATAGCTTATTGTATTTAAAAGCTATTCTTGAATATATTTTAGGTTCCAGTTTCTTAAATGGTTTATAAGGTAGAAAGCAAAAAAATACAATAAGGAAAAGTAAAACCGGGTAACCGAACTTGATATACCCTTTCAATTTGCAATTAAATTTTAGCTTAGGATAGCTTTAAATATACCCATTTTTTGAATCCATATTATAGATATTTTTATATGACAATTTTTCGAAAAATCAAAATTTAAAAAACTCATAGCTAAGTCAAAAAAGCATTAATTTTAATTCGGAAAGCTTTCCCATGTTAGTTTTTATTAGATTAATAAATCTGCGTACTCTATTTAAAATTTAAAAAATTTAAACATTTTTTCAATTTTTGAAAATTTGAATGATGTAACCCCTTTAAAAATTTTGATAAAATTTCGAAAAAAAAAATATTTTTGGTCCAGACAGGTCTAGATCGATTCGACTGTTAATGTTGATCAGGAATATATATGATTTATAGGGTCGGAAATGACTCCTTCACAAGCTGACAAGCTTCTTACTAAAATTATAATACGCAGCAAGGGTATAAAAACACATTTCTTAATTTTGTTTAATCAGCTAACAAAATTAATTGAAAACCAGTCTAAAAGTTACTGTTATTTGTGAGATTTCGATTTAAATTTTTAAGATATGTGATAGAATATTATATTGCTAATCCTTATATATCCGTTTCCCCCTTATAACGACACCCCTGGAGGATCTCATATGCTCTACTCACATGAAGTGACCGGCAAACTGCAACGAGGCACTCGAGTAACCACTTCTTCATGCACGCAGGGATCTCTCGAAACCGGCTTTCAACCTAGGCAAGCAACTGAGCCGGCCGGCCCGGCTTTTCAACCTCCTTCTCTTTAAACACCCCTCTGCACTGGGAAGAAAATATTTAAAAATTATACTGAAAACATTTTGTTTTTAATACTATTATTTTTAAACAAATATTATAATTTTGCATGATGTTAATATCAATTTAAACTTGGTATTAAATAGTATCACTTTAGGGCTTCAGCCTTTCCCACTTGGTTCTAGCACAAAACTAATTAAGGCTGTGAAATACTAACAACGGATCCTTTGAAAAACTGTGCATTTAAAACATATCTTTGTTTAAGTGTTACCTTTTTAAATATTTACATGTATATTAAACTCAATTAAAATCTTACCTAAGAGTTCGATTTTTTTGGCAGTGCACTTAACAAATTTAGCCGATCGACTCTGCCTCTCCGCCCACTGCTTTTAGCCTCCTTTAAAATATTTTATTTTATTTTATTATCATACAATGAATTTCAATGAGGTGCTGCTGAGTTGGCAACCGGCAACCGTTGAAGAAATTAAGAAAGTGCGCATTCAAAGTAAGTTTTTTGTTTGAGTGACACTCGAGAGACAAAAAGCGTGAACCCTTCACAGAGATGCATTATCATGCGGTTCGAGATGTGATTTCAAATCACGCATTAGCAGAGACCAAAAAAAAAAGACTCAAGAAACACCGCCATGAGTGAATGCTATCCCGGCACGCACACCAAACACCACTCTTACTCCATAGATAAAACTAGCTCTCCATATAAAAGAGGTCCAACAGCCCAGTCACAGTTTTCCAGACTGCATTTCTGTGTTGAGTTTTGGTTGCATTCGGCAGTTTCCGCTTTTGTCTGGGACATTTTTTTTATGTTTTTTTCTTTGATGTGGGTACGACAGATATCATGTGGGTCGAAATTGGTCTGGGGGCCTAGATGAAAAAAGGAAAGGCGACGAGAAAAATCAATTCAAATGGTTCATTAGTTTCTTTTTTTATCAGAGGAATTTTGAACCCCTTTTACAGGTATTAAGTTACTGATTTTGTTAATATAAAGAAGATTATATGTATATTTCCAAAAAAGATCACCATAAATTTTATTATGAATATACCTAATTTAATGATAAATACATTTTTATGGAAATTTATTGTTTATGAAGGTTATTATGGTTTAATTTCATTAAAAATATTTCTTTTGAATGTTGTATTATATATCTTAGTTAAACAAAAATGGAATAGCTTATCTCTCTATTCAAAAACTCTTATAATTCCCATAACTCCTCTTTTACTGTGTAATTTTCAATACTCTTAAACCAGTTGTAAAAAAAATATCTTACACAACATCTTTTTTAAAGGGCTAATTGATTTAAAGGTGACAAGAAATGAGAGCTATATAAAAAAATGCGTGGGCTGGAAACATAAATAAAACCAGAATCCACTCAAAAATTATATTTTCGATTGAGTAAAAAAGTTTGACTGGAAAGAACTCAGACGACGGAGTGAAATTTTGAGGAGAATATAAAAATATTTAGAGAGCGGTACTGGAAAAAAACTATATTTCAAATAAAAATAAAACAATTTCGAAAAAACAAAAAACATAATAATAATAATACCCTACAGAAATTTAGATTACAAATATTTATAAATTATTTAAATAAATAAATTACATTCAAAACTTAAAATCTATAATAATTATTTAAGGACTGATCAGCACGTACAACATACCTAAACACAACGGTAAATAAATGGCCAAACAGCTGAAAAACGGAAAAACTGTTTGGCATTTTCCCCTGAATTTCACACTTGCGATCCACGAGGCGGGAGATTCCTATTCTATATAAGATCCCCGTGATCATGTCTCGGGGGCCTGACACCCGTTTTGACTTTTGTCACCGCCGGCGGCGCCAAAACTAATCAAAGCAACTAAAACTAAAACTAAAACTAAAACTACCAACACATAAGCAAGTAAATGATAATATTAAAATGCAATCAAAAAATGCAAGCCACGTAGTTGATTCCGAGAGAGAGAGAGCGAGAGAGAGAGAGAGAGGGAGAGCAAGAAAGTGATCACGCTCCCTCTTTCTCTGTGTGTAGCGATCGGATCGGGTCTTAACGGCAAGTCGCACCTACGAACCATTTTCATTCGTTTTCGCAGCGCCGAAGCGTACGGTTCATAGGAGGAACGGAACGGAACGGAGTGGAACGAGACGGAACGGGGAACGCGACGCGAACCAATTGTTGCTGTTTTTTTGTTGTAACAGTTAATTGTTTAAAACAAAAACACACACGCCAAAAATTAAGTAATATTTGAGAAAAAGCCGCGCGAAAATCCATAAAAAATCGTTCGTTTGTCGTTTGTGTGCGAGTGTCCACGAAAAGTGCCCCCTCAACATTGGAGGATTTTAATAAATTCAATTAAAGTCCATTATTTTCATTGTCTGACGCACAAGCGTGATGTACATATGAAAAAGTAAAAAATAAAAAATAAAGGTTTTAAATCAAGAAAATCACATCTTAAAGAAAAGTGATTGACAGCACAAGAAAAACAAAAGAAAAAAGAAAAGTTCCTTTCCTCCTTGCCCAGAAGGAGAAGAAGATAGTGAATAATAGACGCAGAAAGAGATAAGAAATAACGGTTAGTGGCGAACTTCACCCCAAAACATAAACAAAAGTAGAAAATAAATAATATAATAATATCCATATCATGTAAAAATTCTATTAAATTGCTAAAATTGCTTAATTAAATAATGCCTAAATGTTATTATTGATTAAATTTGAAAAAATCAATATAATTTACAACCATTTCGACCATCATTAGTGTGTGTAAACATCATTAAAATAGATTACCACCTGCGATTAGCTTTAAAAAAATAATTACATAAATATGTATATTATTAAGCGCTCATGCATTCCATTTTACATATATTATTACTTGCCAATCTAAAATATTTGTTTTTGCCATTTATTGCTTCGTTTGAAAACAAAAAAACAAATCGTTTAATTTTCTATATGTCTTTATTTTCACAGGGGCTTCCAAACACATAAAGTTCCTTGTTTGTAGAGAACATTTTGTAATCAGAGCACAGATCGAAGCCCTATATATAAAATGATTTCACACAGTCCGCCCATATTCAGTCACAGTCCACCCGTTAGTTTTCTGGCGGATTTCATGAGCGGACATCAGCGTCAATCGTTAAAGTAAGTTTACAACAATAAAATAAATAAATAAAAATAAATAAATATCCAAGGCACTTGGCCGAATTTATTACTAAATTGATTTAAGTAAACTCACGAGTTTCGGCTGCCAATCAAAATAAATTAACCTAGTGAAATCTAAAAAGAGTTTTTCATGCCATGGAAAACTTGAGTTTTTTACCGGTATCACGCCTTAAAACAAACTTTCTTTTTATTTTCTTATCAATTGATAAAACTCATCAGGTATTTTTACCTGATACATTTTTAACAGCTGTGTGTATACGTGTTAAAAAAGAAACAGCAAAAAATGTTGATTAAGCAGTCGATAAATTGTCAGATTACATGATTATTAACAAGAAATAAAAGTTGTTTTAAACATTTCCGTTGTTATACAACAAAAGGGATTATATGAAAACATTTAATTAAAAAGAAGGGTTTAAAAAATGTTGATTAGAAACTATTTTAAATTAAGATCTTATATACAAAGGGGTTTAGTTAAAATCAATTTGAATTTATTTGAACTTGGACTTTGGAAAACATTTAATAACAAATATTTGAAAGAAGATCTTATATACAAATGTGTTTAAAATAATATTACAAACCTAAGACTCATACTATTAATGGTTTGTAAAATTTTTTTTCTGTAATTCTTATGAAGAATAGAAGAATTCCAAGTTGCACCTGAATAAACAAAGACTTAACTAACACTTCTATTTAAAGAATGTAACAGAATTAATTTCTTTTAAGGCCACAATTGTTTACTAGACATACCTATTGAGGTCTTTAAATATTGAAGTAATTATGACACCTGTAGCAGCTGTCATTTGGAAATATTTAAGCCAACTGCTAAATATTCTAAATATTAAAAACGAACTAAATGTGAAAACATTTCAAGAACACGATGAATGCAGGGGTACTAAAAATATTCCCGCGACTCAGGCTCGTTTCTTGGTTGACAACAGATTGGCGAACAAAAATATGAAGTGAAACCATTCAAGATCAAGGCAAGGCAAGACCCAAAACAAACATTTCACAAGATGCTGAGGTGATCTCTCTACCAGAGAGAGGAAGAAAGAAAAAGCTTTTGGGTTTGGAGAACCGTTCACGAGTTGGGGAGATGTGTTGCTCGCTTGGCGACAAATAAGCGCGTGGCGCTCAGATGATACTTTTTTTCTTTTGCTGTTTCTCAGGGGCACACGAGCATCCCAAAAGTTATGATAAATCGGTAAAGGGAAGCTAGGGGTATATATATCTATATAGGGGCGAAAGCAATTGATCCAATAAAACAAATTTGCGGCGCTTCATTTGCTGCACAAGCTGCATTTTGTAGAGAGAAACTTTTATTTTTGTTAGAATGTTAAATGTACAATAACAAAAATCGTATAATTTATGGCAAGCTAAAAATAAATGTATAAGTATATATAAAGCAAAACAAAACGAGCACAAGAAACTGAAAATTGTACTCTCTAATAATCAGTTAGGATTAAAGATCTTAAGATAGAGTAAACCCAAGATAGTTATAACTCATTTATTATAGAAAATCCCTTAGGAAAACCATTCTTATCAGGGCATGCCCCTAAAAACCCCTTCAACTAACTCAAGTAACTCAGCTTTTTCTGAGGCAATTCCCTTGAAATTTTCACAGGAGGATTACAAATACCCATTACCGATGATCAATACTAGAAATAACCGATGTAACTCGGTGGTATGACATTAAAAACACTTGAAACTTTTAAGTTGCCAACTCAGGCAATAAATATGCTGATATGCGTCGAGACTATAGCAATTAGCCAATAAAAAAGCAGTGATAATGAAACAGAGCAGACGGAAAAGTTCTCATAGCCAGGCCCAAGCCAAAAAATAGTGGTATCAGCATAGGATCAGCATATGTTTTTTTTTTAGCAAGCAAAAGTCCATCAGTATTATTAGTTTGAGTCTTATCAAACATTGACTTTTGTTAGTTTCATGTCTAGCCAAAAAAAGGTATGATAAGTGGGATGACTGGGTGAGTGAGTCTGCCTGAAAATACATTTTCAGCGATGACTCAACGGTGAGCCCAAACAAATATGCTTCAATTCAATATTATATTTAATATTATTCCCCCCACACGACAAACCAAAATCAAGTGGGGAGGTCGCGCGCAACTCCCCGTTGTCTTATCAGCAATGTTTCTTTATAGACAATATAGGTATCTGTATATATATGTATATATATATATCAGGAGCTATATAAGTACCAGTCCAAGTAGTATAGGCCTCCGGACAATGGAGGCAAATAATATAGCAGTAAAAATTTAAAACCAAAGCCTCTTATCAGGACTGATAAAAGTGCAACTTGATGCGTAGATGCCGAAAATAAAAGAATGCTCCGAGAGAGGTCTTTATTTCTTTATCTATATAAAGAAAAAAGATCACAAAAAATGTGTAGCATCTGGTGATATTTTGTTTTTAGAAACTGGAGGTTTTAAAAGATAATAATATGTTGAATTGAAGACCTTTTGTTGGACCAAACTGAAGGTTCTATTGTACATTTAAAATATTTTAGTCAAAGGTTAGGTTTCTTCTTTAAATTTAATCAAATTTCATTTACAATTTAATTAATTAATATTTCTCTCCTCTGTGTTTTTACAGCTACAATGACGAGCCCAACCGTGCGTCTCGCTACTGCCGGCCCCAAGTGATAAGTCTGGCCTCCAAAGCCATGGTCAACAACGCCTCGGCGGCGGTCCAGGGACAGGGCCCCAATCAACAGAAGGCTGGTGCCACGCCCTTGGGCGTGGGCAGTCGATCCGGTCGGAGTTACCTGGAGCGTATGGCCTCCGCCCCGCTGCTCACCAATCAGCCCAAATCCTGTCTCAGCCGCAAATCCTGCCTGCATAAATCCCAGAATCTGAACAGCAGTTCATCGGCCAGACCCACCACCACAGATCTCTTGCCAACGGACAGCGATGTCACGGACAGTGCCAGTCATGGCTGTATGTGCAGCAAGGATAGCGACCATTGCGAACTGAGGTGAGTTTGAACTGATAAGATTACATCATCATAAAGGTAATACGATCGTGGAGGGGCGGGTTCAAGCACTTTGACGTCATGCCACTGAAGATAATGGCGCCGCACTTATAAAACCACCAACTGAACTAGTTGAGAGTCTTTTTTGTGGTCAGAACGGGTGTAACGCCCCATAAGTGATTCATTCAGCAGCAAAAGATATATTGAATAGATATAGATATCAGAGAAAATTGTAAGAAAACTTGGTAAAAGATACAGAGAGAGTTGGGTAACAGGAGAAGCTGAAGAAGGTTTGTCTGGGTAACTTGGTAGACTGTGGTTGGTCTGAAAGAAAGTCGTAAGATCATATCATATATAAGGGTTTTCTATAAGAAGAAATCTCTTTGATAAAAAATAGTTTAAATAAAATAAATACAGAAAATTAAGAAAACAGGAAAGCAATTAAAAACACAAATCCATCCTAGAAACCTATAAAACTCAAGTAATCAAAGCAAAAAAAGCCGCCAAAATGCCATTTCCCGTTTCCCCATTTATAAACAAAATAATAATATATAGTATTTAATTCATTAACAATAGTTCAAGTAGAAGCAGCAAAAAAAAAATAAATACAATCTCTTGGCAGTCAAACAACTTTCCCATAGACGTCACCACAGAGCACATGTCATTCGGTAAATAAGAACAGAAAGGCAATTGCATACAGCTTCTTCCCATAAAACCCATAAAATATACTCTAGGGATAATTTACGTACATATACGAGCAAAAGCGAGAATGTTAAGCTAAATATAAGAACATGCAATTCCACAAAAACAAAATATAAATTATCTAAATGAGTGCAGAAATGTGCCAAAAGAAAAACACGCCACTGCATCGCGAATCGCTCGGAGGCTCTATCTAGTATCTTTCAGATAAAAAAACCGCACAGATATAGTATAGCACGGCAAGGCGCCATTATTTTCATTTTCTCTTTCTATATATATAATATATATTCTTTAAACATTATCAATTCATATGCGAGGCCCTGAAAAATAATATCTTTCGCTTTTAGCCAGCCCTAGGAACTGAAATTCCTTTTTTGCACTTGAATTTGACATTTAAAATAAAAGAAAAATTGCTAAAAATACGTAAAAATTTGTAAATGTGTACATTAAGATAGAGAATAATAAATGATAGATGCATTTGCGTCAAAAGATAGAGGAGAATTTCTATTTGGGCAATGTCTAGACGAGCTTAAAACCCTCACAGCCTCTCCAAAATGAATGCAATTACTCCGTAATTATTTATTATCAATGTAAACCAGACGCGTGCTTTCAGCTTTTGTGTATACACTTTGCGGTTGCGTATTTCATATGCCTGGTTTTATCAGTTACGAAATGCACTGAGAGAAAATTATGTAACTTGGAGGTAAATAGATGTAACCCTTTGACTGCATCTTTACTTCATTTATCATTGTGCTGTCACTCCTTGGCACGTCTTCTGAAACCGATTCCTTCAATCACATTTGACAGCCTATGAAAATATGCTTTCTTCTTTGCATAATTACCTTCCCACAACAAAAAAGAAAAGAAAAGCCAAAAATCATCAAGATCAAACCATTAAACGACGCAGACGGGTCACGTCAAGGCCGAAGAATTATTAGGCTAGAAGCGTGATCGCACTCTCTCTCTCTCAAGCGAAAGGCGTCAATATTTTATTTTATTTTTTCGGGTGTAACGTAAACTAAAAATATTTCAACATTACAAAGCACACACACAGCTATAAGGTTATATATACACACATCTAATAGAGAGGGAAGATGTTCATGCGACACTCACGTGAATCGATCGGAAAATGTGAGGCTGTGGGGTTTGGCTGGCGTTTGCTGTAAAAATGTTGGCGCACCATCACCTAGAAAATGTTTCAAAAAATTCTGTAAATTTGAAAAAGTTTATAGACTTTTTTTTATAAAATTAAATGTCACTAAAGAAAGGGAACAAAAAATCCAAATAAAACTATTTTAAGATGCTGAGTAGTGGACTTTGACTGTGCGTAGGGGAACTAAAACGTGCCAAGAAAAGACCTAATATTTTCGAAAAAAGAAAAACTTGAAAATTTTGCCAAATACAAGACGGAAATGCCTTGATTCGTAAAACAAAAAATCACAAAAAATCACAAACTAAACCAATAGTAAATGTCACCAAGTTTTGACCATCAAATTAGACAGTTGTAAAAATTTCAACAGGGTGGACAGGTTATTGACTTAATTACAAAAAATTTGGGGGACTCGAGCAAGGCTAAAAGATTGAAAACTGCGGAATTGTTAAGTATTTTTAGGCACAATTTCCTTAAGATTTTGAGTTCTATTAAAAATCCCTTTTAATGGGTTTAAAACTTGTTTCTCCTTTCCCGAGTGATACCTTGCATATTGAGAAGCTGACAAATTTATGGACTTGTTGTAAACCGGACTCTCGAAAATTAAATGCAAACCGTAATGCGACTGCCCATTTAGGTGTTGAACCAAATGCATTCAAACTTGTTTCCCTTCGACGGGTGGGGGGGGGGAATGTTGGGGGAAAAATGAATGGAAATGGAAATGCAAATGAATATCTTTTATTTTTATTACTTCTTCGGGCGATCTCTTTTTAAAAGTTGACACGTTACAGGAAAGACCCGTCGTCTCTGTGGTCTGTGATTTCGGTTTTCTGATTTCTGATTTCTGGTTGGGCGTCGAGACCCACACACGCCAGATAAGCGATCGCCACGGAAAGAAACCTGTTGAAGAAAATGCAGTAACAGCAGGCGCACCGCCGATCATGCCCTCGATGCGTGATCGTCGATAGTCGACTCGATCCGTTTCGATCCGTTTCGATCCGTTTCGAGTCGACTCGAGTCGAGGTGGTGCGATCTCCGGCGAATAAATACTACCAACCAGCCGGCGTTCAATAAACAGAGAGAGAGAGAGAGCCAGCCTGGCAATAGCCATTAAAAATTGTTGGCTATTTGTACTTCTCATATACTATATATTTAGCACTCAAGATGCGTTTTCCCCTCCGATTCTCTCCTTCAATTTGCAGACCAAATAAATTCTGCACCATTTGTATTTGTGTTTGGGGATATAGTAACCTGCCTTCAACTGACGGAAACTTTTTCAATTTCTCAGCATTAGTTTGGGTTTATTTTGGTTTGACAACAGTCAAGAGAGCTATTAAAAAATCGAGCCCCTAACTGGTCTGATTAGCCAAAATTAGTCTCAATATCTTATCGATTTTATGGTCAACTTTCTAAAAGGAAAAAATGTACATTTTAAAAGCTATGGCTGATAAATAGAGGGGATTTTATAGCAGTGAACTCAGTTCCTTCATCAGAACTTAATATTACAAATTAAAAAAAAATACAATTATTATTATTCAAAATATAGGACCATAAAAAGTATTTCTCTAAAACACCTTCTGACCTTTTATAGATAGATAAGTAGGAATAGCCTAATAAATAGAGCTGATATACAATAGTAGGTTTTTGATAATCTTACTGCTATTTCACTATAACAAATTAGTTGAAATAATTGTAAAAAATATAATAAATAATAAAATATTTAGGAACAAGGGATATACAATATTTGGGCCTTAAAATAAATACATATTTCACACTTCACAGACACTTTACCCTTCTTTACATTGAGAACTGTATTGTATCTTAATATTTTATATATATAAATCTACCACAAAGACAACTCTATATATATAATTCAATACAAATATGTGCAGAAAATATTTCAAGGGATTTTCAGTGTTTTGCCAGACTGAAAATGGTTCCAAATTTGTTTCTGTTCCAAATTTCGGAAATTCCAAAATATATTTTAACGATTTCCTACATTTTGAATCACGAGTTTATACTTATATATATATATATCTTAGTGGGGTGTGTTTTTATTTACATTTAAGCCAAAGACTCGTGGGTCGAGTCTTTCAATAAAACCAAAAACAAAAAAATAAAGGAAGGCATTGGTGAAAAGTAGGCGTGTTTTACATATAGATTTAAGGCAAATCTTTGGCAAGATCGTACTACGTGACTGCTAAAAATAAAATTTAAAAAACCAACAACACATATTCCATACACATTACTCTTTTTATGACGCAGGGAATTTTTCGGGAACAGCATTTTTTATTAAAGATAAAATATATTTCTTAAGAAAAGGGAAGTTAAACGAAAAGAAAAGAAAACCGTTGGTTAGTTGGAAAATGCTAAATAATTCTTAGACTTACACAGAAGATCCTAATTAACTGACAGGTCTTTAAAAAATGCATTTGACAACGACGCATTTAGCTAAACTAAAAAAATCAAAACAAACCAATAAAATCAAACTGTTTAGCTTAAAAATAGAAATCTTTGCGGACCAAAGAATCGAAGTCAATGACCATTAAGTAATTAAATACATATTTCCAAATGGGAATGGGGGGTCAAGTCAAACTGATAATGCTAGGGGTCAAATCTACATTTCTTTTAAATATAAATAAATATATATTTTAATAATGAATAGGTAATTTATATATATATATGTATAATTTATTGTGATGTACTCATCTGATGGGATTTCTTTGGTATTCTTTTTATTTTATTCGGACAGCCGTGGCCCCAAGAAGCATGTGATCTTTGCCGATGATGAGGGCCTATCGCTGACCGAGGTTCGTGTGATGTCCGAACCCTCGAATGTGCCGCCCTTTTGGAGCATGAAGTTCTTGGAGCAGATAACACAGGGCCTGGTCAGTCCACATCCGCCAGATCAATGGACGGTGGACTTTAAGCAGCCGGCCTCAGACTATCTATCATTTAGGTGAGATACTAAAAATAACTAAAATCTTATAAAATATTATAATATTTATTTCTGTGCAGACAAAAGATAGAGCGTGACTATGTTTCCCTGGAGAATGTGATTGTCAAGGATGAGGAGTCGATTGTGGTGGGCACCATTAAGGTGAAGAATATCGACTTTCAAAAGGAGATCATTGTCCGTGTGACCTGGGACGACTGGAAGAGCCAACAGGATATCTTTTGCACATTTGCCAGAGCCTATGGCCCGGCCACCTGTGCCCATGTTGTCTTCGATACATTCTCCTTTAAGATTACCCTGCCGCCATCCTCGAAGCGCCTGGAATTCTGCATTTGCTATCGCACCAACGATACAGAATATTGGGATAATAATGATGTGAGTTTTAACAATAAAACATAATTGAAATTATTATATATTTATAAATAATATATTAACTATTTTCAGGGCAAAAACTATACCATCAGCAAGCGATCGCCCTTTTATTACAACGCCCTGTCGCCCTATGATAAGGGTCAGAATCGCAATTCAAGCCAACAAATGCGGTCCACCCTGACCGATGCCTTGGCCAAGGTGCAGGACCAAAATGGCTGGCATCAGGAGCCACATACGCCATATTGGTAAAAAAAGCTTGCTTGGTTAAAAATGGGGAAGTGGACTTCCCCTAACCAAGCTTAACAAGGATATAAGTTTCTCATTTAGGCCACATGAACAGAATCGGAAAAGAATTTTCAATTTTATTGACAGAGAGAGAGTCTAAAAGATTTTTACCACTTTTTTTGTTTTGACTTAAGCTTATAACCTGGTACAAATAATCCCAATTTTAAATGTGCCATGAGAGATATAGGGGGTCCATCGATAACTACTTCTATTAGGAAAGTGCCCGAAATTTTTATGTTTTTATTGACTTTTATTAATCCTCTAAAAAATGCTGTATGTTCGATTGTAAAAAATAACGAAAAACAACCAGATTTATATATATTTGTATGTTTTCCTGTGTATTCCTGTGTGATTGTCTACAACTCTGTATAACTGATATTAGATTTATGTTAAAACCAAACAAGAAAACGAAAGAAAACCCATATAAAAAACGGAAGGAGAAGAAAGGAATTTTGAGGCGTGAAGTATCCTAGCAAACCATTGTTTCGAAATTTTCTGCAAATGCAAAATAAAGAAAGCAAAAACAAACATAAAAACATACACACAAAAAATCAAACAAAATATTAGACCGTAAGCTTATTCGTTTTATTATTTTTCCCCCCACATTTTTATTTCTTTTCATTTCATTTTACAATTATTACCCCCTTTTTATTTTTGGTTATTTGAAACGCTAAGACTGAAATGGCTTGTTACGGAGAAGAAAACACGTCCTGCAATATAATTATGAAATAAAATTAAACTAAAAGCACAACAAAATGGAAAACAAACAGTTCTTTGTCCTCATTGTTTTGTGTGATCCAGATCCCCCGACTATATATTCTACATATACATATACACCTAGCTAACTTTAAGCGATTTGTACATAAACAACAAAGAAAAAACAGAAAATATATATATATATATACCAGAAAATTGCCTGTTAAATACATTTATATACCTATGAGTTTTAAAATTAAGTCAAGATGTCTAGCTTGTAGTACTTAGAGGTTATTTAGTTAGTAAGCCAGACACTCAGCCCAACTGACGTAACGTGAATGAATCAACTATATATATGTGCCCATATACATATTAAAAATGATTACTCTATGATTATTTAGTTTTTAGCAAAACTTATGACACAACGAGCCATTATATTGTCATATTCAGCTCATTGATCATAAACAAACAAAATAAATATATTTTTTAAAAGAAACTCTTCCTTGAATTTTGAGTTTTTTTATTATGGAAAATAAAAATACTTTTTGTATACCCTTTACTAAATATTAAATATGCTTAATTCCATGTATTAAAAATATAGCAATTTCGTCATCAAAATGCGATTTGTAAATCTTTATAAGACTGGGCTTATATCCTTTAATATGCTGTTTTTTATACCCTTTCCGGGTATTATTATTTTAATCAGAAGCTTGTAACCCAGTGAAGGAGTCATTTCCGACCCTATAAATCATATATATTCTTGATCTTCATCAACAGACAAGTCTTTCTAGCCATCTCAGGCAGAAAAAAATTAATTAAAAATTTTTCAAAATTTTATAAGGGGTTACATTGTTAAAATTTTTAAAAAATTTGATAAAATGTTAATATTTTGCAAATTTCAAAATGAGTATGTAGAATTATTAGCCTCATAAAAACTAACATAGGACAGCTTACTGAATTGAAATTAATGCTTTTTTGGCTTAGTTATGAATTTTTAAACTTTGACAAAATCGAAAAAAGTGTCATTAAAAAAGATTAAAAAAATAAGTATTTAAAAATGTGAATATTAAAAGATTATTATAATCGATTTGCGATTCTATCCTATAATTTAAATGTAATCTAATATAAATAATTTATATATAAACTTCGACTTCTTGAAGTTATTTCCCTTTCTTGTATAAGCATATTTCTTTTAAAGTGCCTTACTTTTTAAACTTTAATTTCTTTGTTTAAAATCAATGTTATTAAAAAAATACAAAATAAACCTTATAGATCACGACTGCGATTTATAATTTGCAGTGTGCACATAATAAATCTAAAAATATAATCATTAGAAATGATCCCATCAATAAGCTCAACTACCCAACTGCACTTTGTTGCCTCCCATGGGTAACGTTAATCAAACAGCCCCATAAAACCTCAACTTTCAATGTCAGGAACACACAATTATATTGGTCAAAGGCTATCAACGCTAGACTTTCATCATCAGAACCAGTTCCCCATGAAAAGAGTTACAATAGATTAGAAAAAATGCATCTTTAAGTAGTGGTTTTTATATATTTTATAATTTAATTTATTCAGAGTGCTTTCTGTTTGGGGAACGGAGCGGGGGTCAAACAATTGAAACAGCATAATATCATATTCGCATGTGTGGCGGGGTGAACAGGAGGGGCGTCTGACCAACAAGGGGACAACATACGGGCATACTTTCCAGCGGAAACTAGACTCACATTGGGAGAGGGTCTAAAGATATAGTATATAGTGTTTAGATTGTATATGGAATTGAAATACTTTGAACTGCAGTTTGTAGCTTAGTTGCTTAAGACAGAATGTTCAGTAACTAAAATAACTTTATAATAGTAGTGTAGATAAATTGCCGTGACATAGAAACGCAACGAGTTATGTATGTTGTTCCAGGAATGTACACACGCAACACTGATCTTGAAGAGATATTAGCGTTAGAAAGTAAAAGTATGTTGCTCTCCTTCATAGGTTTTGCCCACAATCGCGCTAAACTGGATCAACTCTGTAGTATCTTCGACTAATCCCATATTTATTGCTTGCCCTTCAGGCTGGCGGGCATCTCTGGTGGCGGCGGGCGAGGAATGCCCAGGGCGACCTTAACACCATCGTAGATGAACCATTGCAGAGCGGTCAGGGTACCGATCATAATGATACGCGGCGTCAAGCCATTCCACATTCCCTTGAAACCCAACGACTTGGCCACATCCACAGCGCTGGCGCCCTTGGTCTGGTTCAGTTTGGACACCACAACGTCAGCGGGATGAGAGACAACGGCACAGAACACACCGGCAATGTAACCAGCGGCAAATGTAACAACCAGCTGCTCGCCCTTGCTGCAGTCAGCACGAGGCTTGGGCACCACATACCTAAGGGAAAGACAATTGCATTATTAATATCAATATATACATATTTATATTAAGCAGAGGATTTACTAGAGTTTAGAGTAGATTCTGCCTTTATATTTTTCAGCATTACATAAGGCAATGCAAATTAAAGTTTATTGATTTTTCACGGCGAAAGTAAACCTAACTTATGATAACTATCTGTATCTTGTCTAGATAACTATAATTTACTTTTACGTCAGTTGTTGAGACGTCAGAATTCCTTATCTGCTGACTGGCAATACGCTAAAAATTAATTTTCACCTAAAGAATAATTTAATTACTCGATGATATTAGGTAATATATGCATTTTTAAATTCATTAAACAACATAAAGGCTATTGGCTTACTTCAGATTCTTTCCTTTAAACATTTAAGTGGACTTTGACCCTGATATGAAAACACTATGAGCAATGACAATAATAATAGACTAAATCACAGAAATAGCAACACAATTTCCCCTTCCTAACTATAAACAAATCCTCTTACTTCAGTTCCTTTATAAAAACTTACTTGTACAGCAGCTCCACGGTGCGCTCGAAGCAAGCGAACTTCATCATGGTGTATGGGATCTGTCGCATCCACAGTGGCACTAGACCCTTGTAGAAGGCATTGACGCCCTCCTCCTTCAGCATCTTGGGCACAGCCTCGCGGAAGGTGTTGGCAAAGCCGGGCACAGTCTGGATCTTAACCTTGGCAGCCTCGAATGGTGACAGGGCAATATCGGCGAAGAACTCAGCCGAGGCGGAAGCAGCCAGGTACAAGGAGGTGCGGTACAGGTAGGCATTCTCCTCACCAATGATCTCAGAGTACTTCACCTTGAACAGCTCGTACAGACCGAACTTGCAGAGACCCTAAGGAAAAGGAAATCCGAATTAATTATAACAAATAAATTAATTATAACAAATGATAAGATATATGGGAGATTAATTGATTGATTGATTAATCTCAAACAATCCAATTTGAACTTCTTTCTTAGGCTTATCTATGCCAAGAGCTGTTGGAATCCCATGTAATTGAGGCCATCAGGTGACCGTGTCACGTTCCTACTGCTTTCAACTGATTATGCAACCCCCCGACCCCGACGTACCTGCGCCGAATAACCCAAAAGGGTGGGGAACCATCCCTTGGCCAGGCCGCGGGCTCCCTCCTCCGCAACGGTGACCTTGAAGCCATGCACCAGATTCTTGTACTTGGCTGGGTCCACCTGCAGACGGCACTTGACCAAATCCAGTGGGACCACAAAGGTGTGGGTGGTGCCGCAGCTGAGGATGCCACCGATACCGCACAGGGCAAAATACTTGTTGCTGCCGAATTCGCACGAATCATTCTGGCTGGCAGAGGCGGCCGCAGCGATCTCGCGTCCCTTGACGGGCTGAGGATCCTCGGCAACCAGTTTGGTGGCGGCGTCACATTGCACCGGCGTGAAGGGGCTGCGGAAGGGTGAGTTCCTGGCAGTTTCGAAGAAGCTTGAGAACATCTTAATTGCTGGATCTGCTACGGACAAGGTCGTCTGCAAGAGGAGGGAGAGAGAACTATTAGCTAGATCTATATCTATCAGGCGCCGCCAGACATGTGCTTTATCTAATTATATTTCGTTCAGCCGCGCAATCAGCTGCTGGCTGCTTTTCTAGGTTACATAACGGCGTGCCGTGCCAAGAATCCCATCCCACTTACGGGGCGTCTCCAGGCAGTTATTCAAATACAGAAGCGTAACAATATTTACGGAAATTTTGATCTGATTTCGGAACTAGTGTCACTTTTGAATTAAATTTTTGACTGGAGAGTCTTATGCAATTTTCTCGGCCCTAAAATTTTTGCACTTACACTTCGTCAGCAACGTTCGTAGGCGGGATTCAAAAGAATGGTGCGGGGGGTCATGAAAACGCTTCAAAAGCTTTTGAAAAAAAGCTGCCAGTTCATCGGAGCACTATCGATACTATCGATGTTTTGAAACAATTTGTGTTAACTAACATTTTACACCTTACACGTGTAGATATAAAGGTAAATGGGATAGAATTCTCATGTAGGAAGTAAAACTCTCATATAGAAAGTAAAATTCATTAACGAATCTGCAGCTGACAAAACATCGGAACACTATCGATACTATTGACAATTTTATACGTTTTACACGATATCGACAGTGTGACCATGGACGGGTCAAGAAGAAATACACCAATTTACTGTCGCTGTGCTTATGTGATGAATTCATAAATTCGTTGATTGATATATATGATGTTCTTAAACTATTGAAGCTCAATTTACTAACATTTTCATGTATTGAAGACAAATTTAGCCAATATTCGCGACTTTGGTCAGCAAATATCATACTAACATAAAAATAAATATCGATTCAAGGGATTCGATATTTGAGATTTTCTTGGGGGAATAATATAGACAAACAGCCTGTTATTGCTGAAAATCAAACATATATTTCGATTCGAAATTAAATTCTCAATAAATAATAACAAAATACAAAGAAAAACAATGTAATTCTGCATATTTCCATATTTTAAAATTAGTTACCCACCCTAGCTGGGTAATTTAATTTTAGTCCGAAAATTGTAACGCTGTAAAGGAATTATTTGCGACCGTATAAATCATATATATTCTTGATCAGCATTAACAGCCCAGACGATCTAGCTATCGAAGGAAAAATTTTAGACAAACATTTGGAAAATAATTATCATATAAATTGTAAATTCAGAGTATTCGGTTTTTTAACTAAGATAAGGATAAGGATATGCAGATTTATTAAAATTAACTTAAAATGAACTTAAATTCGGAATTAAAATTTAATTTTTTTTAAATAGTTATGATTTTCATAAATTTTGATTTGTCCAAAAATGTATCTTATAAAGATATCGAACGCGATTATCATGTATTCTTCGGTTCATAGATGCCTAAAAAGGCATAAGTACATATATTGGCATTCGCCATCTTAATACTAATTAATAAATACTATAATATGAAGTAGTTTTGTTTTTTAATTTTAACCACATTTGTTTAATTAAATTAATCGTCGATAGTGTAACGATGTTTTTGCAGCTGCCAGCAGGTGTGGCAACACTGTTTATTAGCACGCAGCACGTTTGTTATTATTTTGAAAATATTCTTTGACGAAATGGCGAAAACTAAACGAAATGTAAGGGCCAAGGCCAAGAGCATGGTGGGGGCGGCCAAACAGAAAGCGCAGGAAGTGCAGGCGAAGCTACGCCAGGAGCAGCTGCTCCACAAAACCCTTACGCCCAAAAAGACGACCACCAAGAAGGAGAAGTCGGCGGCCAGGCACAAGAAGCTCCTCAAGCGCTTCGCCGAGACACGAAAGGAGCACAAGGAGGAGGTGGCCCGCAAGAATCGAGAGAAGACCAAAGTGATCGGAGACCTGAAGCCCCTTCGGGATGCCCTGCCCTCTCTGCAAGACATGTACAAGCTGGTTAGGATCAATCAGAAGGATTCCAGCGAGCAAACAGTGCTCACCCCTCCAGAAACTCAACTCAGTGCCAACGAGAAGATCCGGAAGAAGCGCAAGGAGCTGGTCAATCGCGTCAAGTCCTTCGAGAAGCTCATCAAGGACAAGAACTTTAAAAAGAATCCCCGCGAAGTCGTTGCTGCCCATATGCGCAACAAGTACGAGGCAATGGAGGATGAAAATGATGAATAGGGGTCGGGAAATCTTTTCAAATAACTGCTACCCGCCTAAAACCACAATTTTATAACTTAATTTTTATAAGAAATATCTTTAAAATGCATGTTATGTATTGGTACAGAAAAATTAGTCCATTATGTGCCTAAAAACCCTACAAAGAAATCATACTCTCAACTATGATATATAATTATAAGGAAATATCTTTAATATATATTTGGGTACACAAGAAAACAAGGATTTTGTTTTAGTTACTTAATGAGGCGACGTCTGAGCCTTATAGATATGGTCGGAACCTCTTTAATACAATTATATATATTGATATTGGAAGATACTCATATAAATATAAATAAATATAGCAATATATGAGCAGTACATACATCAATATTTGATATATTGGATATATAAAGGAAGAGGCATTAAACAAATTTAAAGCTGACAAACTTTTCATTATTGTTTTCCGCATATATCTATACAAGGTCCATTAAATTTCGTTCCAACATTAAAAACACAAGTTGACTTTATTAAGAAGTATCTTTATTATATATGCATTAGGTATAGTTATCATTTAACGATGCATTTTAAATATTACACGTACGAATGTAAGATTAAGCATTAAATCGTAAATCGAGGGTTAACAGAACGCGATTAGAATTAGACAAGATTTGAATGTGAACTCGAGTTTTGTATTATTATGGGCCTCTGCTTTTATGCCATTTGCCATTTCGGGGCTTTTTGTGTGATTTATGTAATCTAGAGCTACATCATTATAATATATGTGTATCATAGATCGTTATATATGCCGGGCTTAGAGTTTCGAATGTTGTCAACTTGGTGTTGTTCTTCTTACAGTGAAAATACAGAGCTATAAACCCAAAGGTCCTTTATGCATCCGCAGTGTTAATCTACATATTATATTGGTTATTGGTATTATCTGGTATCATCGGGGTTATCTGGGCGTGGCTGGCTCCTTCCTTGTGAGATCATTTAAAAACGTTAGTCAAACACACATTGGCTGTCTTGTCTGCGATCCATTTGCGCCACCATTTCACGAACAGCAAAAATTAACATAGCTATTGAAAAAGTGTCCCCAAATACAATGGCTTTATATATCATCATCATGTACAAAATGTGGGCGAATTCTACACATTATTCGTCACCAAACTTGGGTTACAACCTACAGCGTTATGTCTGTATAATCGCGATTGAACTCTTGATTGAAATATATATATATATTCTGACGAATCCGTTTCTCGGGGGAATTTCTTGTAGGTGTCTTCCGGGCGCGAAATTATTTATATATTCATAGAAAATATATTAACTAACCCTAGGTGGTTTTTTCTTTTTTTTTCGTTTTTGCACATTCAAGAGTTTGAAACAACAAACTTAAGCTAAATTTGAAAATCTTTTTACGCGTGTTTACTTGTTCAGCAAGAACATGAGCAGGCTGCAATGAAACATGAATGGAAAGTTAGAAAATTACCTTTAGAATGGTAACAAAAGACTCACCGGAAGTTAATGCCTTTGTTGGCCAGCATACGGTTGCATTCACTTGAGCCAGTGCCGCCAATGCCGTCTGGCAGCGGCAGGACATAGTAATCACTTTCGGTACTCTACAAAGTAAAGAATAGATTTAGTTTCTAAAACGTTCAATATAGTTCAATGCTCCATTAATTACCGTCTCTGTGAAGTAATGCTGATATATCTGGGTCGAAACTTTCATATCAGAAAAGGGTCCCTTGAGCGCAAAGAAGTGTATGCTCATGGGCGTACTGGTCTTGGTCTTCAGGATTAGCTGGTAGGTAATGGTCCGATCATTCGATTGATGCGGATCGCGCTGGCTGTTGTTAATGCGCGCCTTAACCACCCATTGCTGGTTGAAGGCCGAGAAGCGAGCTGTTTCATAAAAGAGCTTGTGCACATACTCGTCTGTGCGATAAGGCTTCATCTGAAGATCTGTAATAACACACATATAAATAAAATTATTAATTATTGTAACATTATTTAACCCTCCATTAATGGAATTTATCTGTCAATCTTTTAAGGGCTTATCGAAAAAGGGCAAACTAGTTTTCCAAACCATAAGTGCGGGCCTTTTCTACACTACCCGCATTTATCAAATACTTTATCTCTAATTCCATTAGGGAATTATAAGCCTAAACCCATCACTGACCATTGAATATAATCTTCTCGTAGCTCAGCAAGTCAATCAGGGTGTTAAACATCTTCTTCTCCTCCTTGATCATGACATCGTGTGCCTCCAGGGCAAACATGACCTCGTGGCCAGACTTTTGCGGATGCAAGCAGTTCCTCTCGTGCTCGGTAGCTATATGGAAATTTTGTGGGTAATTATTGCAGTTTAAAAATGATGGGGATAAGGCAATCATACTCTCATGGAAGGGTCCACGCCATTGGCATCCAATGCGATGGTATTTGCATTTCGTGGGACGCTCCTGGCACTCGTGCTGTTCATGGCGTTCAAGTGACTTGTATGGGAATTCTTTGTTGCAGAACTATTAGACAAGAAAAAGGTTAATAATAATATCTAGTGCGTTTTAAATTCAAAGATTATAGTACCTGACACTCGCTGGGCAATTCGGAGGCTGCCTTCTCCACGGCCAAGTTACGCGAAGCTGTGCTCTTTGATATTTCCACGCGACAGTTGGGACAAGTGGCAATCTGATCACGTAGGCTAAAGAAACAAACATTAAGGAAACACATTGAAAGGTGTAAAAGGAATAGAACAAGTTAATTAGGCTCAGAGATGGAAATTTCTCCTGATTTAAATTCGGTGTTAAGAGGGTATTCATACCGTCCATCCGCCAATAGGTGGGTAAAGCAGGCGGCGCACATCAGGTGACCCATCTGGCACTGCAAGTGAAAGGAGCAGAGAGAAAGGGAAATGTGATTTTAATAATTTCATATCTAAAATAGTTGTTTATTGGTAAATGGATAGAGAGAGATTTGATAACTAAAACAAAAGAGTGGAATGATAATTAACCTGCAATTAAAGAAAAAAGAAGAAAAAGTTTGCTATTAGTCAAAAATACGGCCTTGTTTTGCAAAGAGAGCTTGTTGGAGAGATATGGAAATGAGTGTGGTGTGGGTGGTGACTTTTTTGGTGTTTTCAATGAGTCTATTTTTGGGGAAAATGGAAAAATGGTATGAGTGGAATATGGATTTCTCAGTGGGAGAGGATGAAAGTTCTGAAGAGGTCTGAAAATGTTTTAGCTTTAGGAGTTCCAGTTTGTATATTCTATTTATTTTTTTTTTTTTTTGGTTGAAATAAAAACGCTATGGTTGTTGGTTTGGTTTTATTTTGCATTTTCAAGTTTCGCACTCTTCTTTGCAAATTTATTGAATTCATTTTCTCGTTTTTCTTTTTTGGGGTTTCTTTTTTTTTTTTTGGTTTAAATACATTTCAGGGTTTAACTTTAATGCTATATGGATGAAATCGGTTCTATGTACTTAGCTTTTACAATTACAATCTCAGGTTGTTCTTTTTTCGTTTTAGTTTTCTTGGTTTCTTTTTTGTTGCGTGTGCTTACAAAGGTTACGAAATCGAGTATTTATTCACTTAACTAAGATTAATCATTAAGTAGATAGAGAGAGAGAGATAGTTAAAGTTTATCTAAATAAGGCGCTGCAGCAAAATGAAAATTATAAGAATAGTTCTGGTTTAAATTTAGCATTCTTTTATATCGTATATATGTTGGTTTGTAAATATATATTCTGTTTTATTCTTTTTGGTTTCTTTTATGTTAATTTTTGTGTTCTTTTTTCATTTGAAAGCCAATTAATTTGGTGTTTTGTGTGTATGTGTTTCTCAATTGGTTTTCGGACATGAGTTTGTCAAGCAATTGATGAAAGAGAAGGTCTGGTATAGTGGACCGATAACGGATATATGCATGGTATCTATAGTATAATAGTATATAATATACACAAGTACGTCGCTTCGGCCAGATAATGCCGTGTCCAAAGTCGAGATCCAATCGAGCGTGACTCGACAAAGTGAAATGTAACCCCCGAGGAGCCTTCATTATAACATTACTATATCTGCATCGACATTTATTTACAAATCGGAATGCGGGCCGGGTCGGGCCGGGCCCAGGCTGCTCTTCCCTCATTTTGGAATTTCAGTCTCTATTTTTGGAATTAGCCAGCGTGGCCCAACAAGGAGCACTATTTGTGGACGGAACCGTAGAGTTTTCAAGCGATAAGCGATGGCTTTTCATTTGTTTTTCTTTTTTTTTTTTTTGTGCCTGCACACGCGTGTGTATATCTTTTGCACAGTACAAAAATGTTTACTCGAGAGAAAGAGAGATTCTTTGGATTCTAGATATATACACAGTTTTGAAAACTGTTCAGAATTAATGTTTTATCTCTGCAGCTTATAATTTAGCTATACAAAAGAAAAACAAATTCTGATAAGATATCATAGATCTCTTGAACCTATAGTAAACGTATAATCTTTTTGATTTATAATTATTTTCACCTCAAAATAATAATCTTACAGAATGAAATTTGTAGGTTTATTGCAATAAATTCAAGAGTATAAAATATAATACCGATTCAAATTTAATGATTAACAACATCTAGTGAATTTTAAATAGGTCCTTCATTAATAGTGCATTCTAATCCCCCCTTTTTTACCCCCCTGTATGTTTATTTGTGTATCTGCATCTGGGTTTTTGAGAGCATCTATATCTGAGCGCACATTTACTGTGTTGTATCTTGGCAGTTGAATGAACCCGTGAATTCGTGTTCTTTGATTGGCAATTTATGACCTAGACTAACTATACGGCAGCACCAGCTGCTGCTGCTGCTGCTGCTGCTGCTGGTGCTGGCTAACAATCTGATTGTTTAATGGAAAATCCACGAAACCACAAAGGAGTTTAACTCGTTTTTCCCCAACGATAACAATAACACATACGGAACAAAAATATATCACAACTCTCGCTCTTTCTCTCTTTTGCCATGTGCATTGTTTACTCGCTCTCTCGCTCTGGCACTCGCCCCCGTCATCTCATTCTCTCGCTCCAATGCTGCCGCTGCTCTCGCTCTATTGCCCTCTCGCTCCGGCTGCCCGCACTTGCGCCGCAGACACAACAAAACCAGCTGATGGTGTTTTTGTAGATAAGTAAGAATGGGGCAAGAGGAAGAGAACGTCAACAGTAGGTAAAATAAAAAAAGAAGGAAAGAGGAAATCACGCTAAAGATCGACGACGACGACAAAAAATTCAGGTGGGTTTTTGAGTGTGTTTTCAGGTATTTGTACCTTTCCCCCCGCACAAACACACACACACACACACACTAGTAAATACACTCGCACTTTGAAGAACCTAAAAAGTACACATAGCATAGAACTTAAGGCCGAGAAAAACTGGTAAAACGAGTTTATTCCAGATCACAGGTCTCAACCTGCACCAAGCTGATTCCACACAAAAATACATAATCAACAAAAAAAGTCATGGCATTGCATTTGTTACACATCAACTATGCGTAGTTTTCTTTTACTTTTTTTCTAATCAAAATTTAGAATAAAACGAAAAATAAATATCTCACAATTTTCCCCAGGGGCCTCAAGAACAGCTGATTTTGCCACGACATGGGCGAGAGCGAGACAACGCATGTGTATTACGACGCAGCAGAAAAACAACAACAACAACGCAATGCCGTAGCAAAAGCAAAACAATAACAGAGAGCAAAAATCGCAGGGTGCGTGCTTGTGTCAGTGTGTAGTCACATACATACATACACGCGGGGCCATAAAAAAGAAGTGGAAATGCAAAAGAGGAAAACAATCGTGTTTTTTTTTTGTCAGGGATTCTTTAGCTAATTAATAGTTTCTGCGGGTTCTGCGAATTCCACTCCATTTTGTATGATTCATTTTGGTTTCGGTCACGTTTTTTTGTGGGATACAGAAACTGGGTTTTTGATATTTTTCTGTGTGGGTCAGCATTATTTTCTTTTTTTACGGTAATCCAAAACCGATTTCAATGACGCAGTTATCGCTGCTCAAAGCAAGTAGGTGTGTTAGAGAAAGAGAGCAATGTCAACACACACAAACATATACGCCTTACGTAAAGATCTGTCGGTTGCAGCGGCGTAGAATCAAGGGGGGTCTGTCGGGGACTTCTTTAAATGAAATCGAAATGTCACTGAATAATTTTCAGGCTAAATATCACGAGGCATTCAAAACCCCCTTTGCCCCTGCCACTGCATTTATGCATTAAATTCAATCAATTGTCAGTTTCAGCGACAATGACGACGACGACGACGCCTACTTGAGCGTGAATGAAAAAGAATGCGAGAATTTGCCTAAAAAAGCAGAATGAATGAGAGAGAGGAAACTGTATACGCAAACATTGAAAATAAAAAGCTTTGAATTCCCGTTGTTGGCCTTAATTTGCCGCTGCTAAAAATAGGGCACCGCGCACTCCCCCTTTAATAGATTGGGTCCTAAACATAATGTTTGCTGGTTTCTATGACGCAATACAGAAAATCTGCAGTAAATGTTACTGCGCAAAAGAAGGGGGGCTCAGCGAAAGCGGAGGTGGGGGGCCATAATTTACAGGCAAATGCAACGGTTCAAAGTTAGAGGGGTTGATTTCAAGCCGTTTCTCTAAAACGCAATAAAACTGCATTAGTTGGCCGCGAGTGCGACAAGGCCAGCCTGCTCTCTCCTATGCTGCGCTCGCCCCGCTTGCGGCGCAATGTTTTCAAGGCGAGAATGCAAGAGCAGCCCCGCTATCCGTCCCGCTCTCGCGCACAGCTGTCCGCGGTGGGGGCCAGCGGCATGGGGAGTGTGGAGTGGTGGTTTCACTCTTACAGCTGAGCTGTCACGATTTGTTTGTATACAGAAGAATGGAATCTCTCTGCAAGGAGGAGGGGGGGAGGCACGGGCCCAGGACACGTCGACTACGCAGTTCGTTCCCTGCAAGAACTCACCTGGTACATGGCCGTTTTGGGCAGATCCAGGCAGACGGCGCAGCACAGCGCCGTGGAGATGCGGTAGGCCAGCTTCTCGTGCGTCCCAGCTGCGGCGGCAGCGCTCGACAGCGAGGAGGCGCCGCCCCCGCCGCTGCCACCGCCCCCGGAGCTGCTCGAGGCCCCGTCGAGCAACTGCTTCTTCGAGGGCGGCTCGCCGCTGCTTTGGGTGTCCAGCGGCACGCCCACAACGTTGTTGCCACCCTGCCCCCCGCCGCCCTGCGAAGAAGCGGACGAGGAGGAGGAGCTGGCGCTGGAAGTGGAGGCCTGCATCACGGAGTCGCCCAGCAGCGGAAGCGTCGAGGAAGGCGGCTGCTGCACCGCCGAACTGGAGGATTCCACCGTCGACATGGCTAAGCTAATGTCTTTAATTTTCTCAATTATTCTCTTTTCTGCTTTGGGCAATGTTTCACACTGACACTAGTTTGCCCAATTTTTTCCTGTCACTTTTCGAACAAGTTTTCCTCTGAGCACTAGATTGCTATAGTTTGACAGATAGTTTGTTGTTCTGTCGCCTGCTTCAATATTCTGGTTTTTAGTTCAAATTTTTTCGTCGTCCAAAATCAAAATCTGAAAAAGAAACACGGAAGCAGCTGTATTTATAGGAAATTCTTTGTTTTAGTGTGGCCTTTCGTCGCTTTTGTTGGTGTTATTTAACATTTTACATCTAACGCGCCTGAAAAGTCATTTTACACGTTTACAGATACATGAGGTCGAATTCTCGTTTATGGGGTCGAATTCTCATGTAGGAAGTCGAATTCCCATGTTGAGTGCAACATCATTAACAGACCTGCTCTTATTAACTGAATTCTCTCTCGTTGGCTGTCGGGTGGATATATATTAACAGAACTCTCTCTTGGGTGCTGTTGGGTGTAGGTCGTCAAAGTATCGATATATTATTTAGGTTTTTGTTGATATTTCGTTTTCGGTCACTCTGAATTCCGAAGCTGTTTTTAACATTTTACATGTCAAGATTTTCAAGCTGTTACTTAAAATTTAAGATTTTGCATGTCTAGAAAACCGTTGTACTCCTTTACAGAAACATGGGCTAAAATTCTCATGTAGGAAGTAAAACGCATTAACAGAGCTACAGATTCGAAAGTCTGGCAACGTTATTGCGTTGGCAATGTTGCCAGCGTTGCCAGCCACCTTAACAATAATCGATGCCATCGATAGTGTAATCAATGCTATCGATAGCGACATTGATGCCATCAATAGTGATATCGGCGGCGTTGCATCACTAACATGGTCGCGGCACACGAAAAACATGTAAGAATTTTGTTTCTATCTAAAAATTGTGTACAAATTAAGTGAAATGTATCCCGGGGGGAGCATACACGAAACCCCAGTGATTTTAGCCCAAAAAACAATGCAAGACGGCAAGTAGATGTGTTGGTATCAGAGTGGCATTTTTTTGTGGCGATGGCGTATGTCTGTGAGAGTGTGTGTGTGTGTGTGTGCGTGCAACAGCGGTAGAAATTAAACAAAAAAAAGAAACAAAATAAGCGAGCAAAAATGACAAACTCTTTGCAAGTTGTTGTTGTTAGTAAAGATATATATGTTATTCGATTGGTGTTTACCTTTGCAGAACGCACCTTTAGCCGAATTGCGTCTTAAAAATAAGAATTTGGTTGTGTGGAAAGTTGGCGTTTCATGCTTCGTTACTCCAATTAATAATCGTTAATCAATGCAGCACGAAAGGAAAATAGCAAAAGGAGAGAGCGAAATCTAGCGAATCCCAAATTAATAAATAATTATCTCTTTTCTGTGGAAAACCTTTCGAAAATTAATCCCAGCTGTTCTCACTTCATAGTGAGAAAAAATAAAACAAACGAGTAAAAATGTTCTCAGCATTTACCCCCTGCTCTTTCACTTCCTCGTTTTGCTTTTCCTTTGCCTTCTACGGTCCCTTTTCACCACCCCCCCACCCCTTTGCAACCCAGCTGTTTCGCGTTCCACAAATATGGCTGGAGTGTGGATGCCATTCTCCCACATTTCTCTATGTGGAATGCAACCTGTGGCCAGCTGTTGGGTCCTGTTGAACTCCCCCCCGATTTTCCATCTGTGTGTGTGTGTGTGTGTGTCTGAGTCCGTGTGTGTGTGTATAACAACGCCAATTGCTAGGGCTTCGTTATATGTCCTGCTAAATATCCTGGCGCAGACGATTTTCCCACCACTCCGCAAATACAGGGAACTCCGTGTGTTGCACCACAGCTGGTAGTTGTTGTTGTCATACCCTGGCAGAGAGTACTGTTACTTTTTGACAAATTGACAAATATTATTGTTAAATCCCATTACCTTTTCCTAGTCTCTCAGTTTAATTAAAACACTTGTTATTTCGTTCTCATAAGAAACTATCAGTTAAAAAAAAAGTAATCTTTATCCTTCCTTATAGTTGTAATTTCTCATTTTAAAGGACTAACCAAGTGTTCAACGAATTGAATATAAAATTTATAAGAAAATCAATTATAAAAATATTTATTCATATATATTTTCAAAAAAAATTGCGTATGTCCAGTCTGCCAGTTCATATTTTGGTAATGTATTTGTCTGAATTAAATATTCAAAAAGGGTATTACAGTTTCGACTTTCCCCGACATCCTTTCTGGCTTGTTTTCATTTGATGGTGTGCGGCGGGGTCGCTGGTGATGTTGTTGTTGTTGTTGTTGTTGTTGTTGCTGGTCGTTTGTGGACTCCATTTGGCTTGGCTGTTGGATCTTCTTTGCGTTCCTTTCATTCGTCGTGCAGCGCCAATCGCGCGGTGTTTGTGTGTGTTTTTTCTTATTTGCAAAATCGTTGAAAGTTAGTAAAATGTCTATGTCCCACGTATATTATAAAAGTTAATCCCCCGCCAGTACATACATATATAAAAAAAATAGAGACTTTAAGAAAGTAAACACCAGAAATTTGCTGGAAATGGTGTAGCTAATTCCACACCAATTTTCTTGGCAATATGTTGGCGCAGGTTCTGTGCCTTTGTGAGTGTGTTTGTGCTGTGTGCTGGTGGATGTTAAATTTAAAACTCTATAAATATGAAAAACTTCTTGTGAAAAGTGTATAAATCAGAGTGCAAAAAGAAATGGAAGGAGCTGTAAAACAAATATGCGCGCAATTGTGCCTGTATATGTGTAAAAAAAAGCATCCCACACACCTACGCACTTCGCAGCAGCAGCAGCAGCATCACCCCTCTCACTCACTCCATTTAATGTGCTGTTGCTTTTTGGATTTCATTTTGTCGCCTTTTTGTAACAACAAATGTAAAGAGAACTGTGTTTCCTTCACCGTTATGCGTGCCTATGAGTGTGTCAGTGGCGTGTTTACAAGGTGTTAAATGGGGTTAAGAATTTCTAATTACAAAACCTAATACTTATTTCCTATAAATATTTAATGTGTACTAAACTCGATTTTAATTTTCTCTCTTTTGCATTTTACAGTCGACGCGCCTCAATTGTTAATAATCTCATTTGCCCGAAAATGCATTTTAATCGCAAAGAACTGAAAAAACTTTCATAAAAAAAACTAAAAAAAAGAAAAAAATTATAATCGAAACGTACGATGTGAAAATGTGTAATGTGAATTTTAGAAGTTAAGCGCGGATTGTATGTATTATTTAAATTTTTGTTTCAATATTTTCTACCTAATAATTACAAAAAAGAACTGAAAAATCGAAAAAAAAATCGAAAAAAAAACGGAAAAGCAAAAGAAAAAACAAAAAAATAGGAAAGAAAAGTTTTTTTTACTCAGTGCACTTTATAAACGAAAACAAAAACAAAGTGTAAGCGAAGCGGGCAGAGAAGAGACAACAGAGGAACAGACGAAAGAAAGAGCGAGAGAGAAAAATGTCAACGTTCTTGAACAATTTCTTCCCGGCAGGTAAGTGTAAAAAAACAAACACAAAGTAAATAAAAAATCCAAATCAAATGAAATCAAACACACAGCAAACAAAAACAAAGGGAAGGAGAGGGAAAAAAGCCAGCTGGTGGCATTTAATTGAAAGTCACCTTTGGCATATTTCATAAGCGTTCTCGCCCAGGGGTTTCAACCTGTAATTTAAACGGGGCTTACTTTTTGTGAAAATGTTCTTTTGTTTTACAATTCCATTTTCCTTATAAATTTAATATTATTATATCCTTGGTTATTATTCTTTTTGTTATGTTTTAAACCGGGGATATTAAGATTATATTTCAATTTTATTAAGTTGGAAATAATTACATAAAAACACATTCATTACAAACATTTAGTTTTTTTTGGTTTTCAATTGATAAGGTATATATTTAACAAATAAAAAGATTGTTTTAAACTTAATTGTGGTGGTGTCACCTTTGGCATATTCCACAGGCTTTCTCACCGGTTTAATCCTGTAATTTAATTTTGTGTACATCTCGTTCTCGCTCCACGGCGGCATGTAAATTGAATTTTCCTTCCGAAGCGCATCTTGTGATTATTGGCAATTACGAGGACGTGACCAAGGAACAAAGCGGCAAGAGCGATAAAGGAGAGGATTCCAGAGGAGGAGTACTGAGATTCTTGATGTAATCAATCTACCCCGGGACCTGGCCCATCCGTTTCCCTTTAATTACATGCATTCCTCGCTCTTCGCTGCCATATCGATTATTGTTTTTCTCTTCGCTCTGCCGCTTTTTATTCCTGTATTCCTGGAAATTCTCAGATTCCCATTTTCTATGCTCCTTGCAACCCCTCCAGGATCAGGAACAAGTTCCACACTTTGCAATCTCTTGCATTTTCTTTGTCCTTATAAATAAAAAAAAAAAACAGAAGAATAGAGTAATATAGATGGAGAAAGAGAGAGAAGCAGTGAGAAGAAGGGAAACTCATACAGGTACGGCAGGAAAAACCACTTCCTCGGTTTCCCTTGCCCTTTGCGAAAGTCAAAACAATAAGAAACTGAGGGAAGTTGTGGGGAAACTGGAAATGCCCTTTCCAGTGTCTAGTTTTGGTTGCAACTTTGTTAAAATAAGGGATTATAATTGATTATTGAAAGGATCTTTCACTTTTTAAAAGAATTCATTATAAAATTAAGGAACTATGGGAGATTTAGTGATTACTTATTAGTATTCATTATTTCGTAGGTCGTTTTTGGGTCTAAATTTTAAATTTAAACCGTACCTTTAATAATTTTGGTAGAATCTTTTAGAATCATACAACTATTCTAAAGCATTAAACCCTTTTGCGACGGTATTAACAACAATCGAAAAGCCTGAGAATAAACATTAAGAAGGGGGGTTGGAATGGGCTGTAGACTGGATGCACTCTTTATAAACCAGTTTAGCAGAGCCCAAATATTCAGCCGATCAACTCTTTTTGGTGGCGTCAAAACAACAGACACAGAATTTACAACAATAACAACAATGACACCAACAATATGTTGGAGAACAACTACAACAATATCAACAATAGCAGCAGCAGCTCTCTTTTCAAGCCGAGGGCAACGGCAGCTGACGGAAACACATTGACTCCACTCCTCGTCACTCCTCACCTATAGAACCTATATAGGAATCGTGCCTGGTGATGGCAACTTCTGGTGCAGCGCTGTCTGTAGGTGCACTGGGTTACCTG